CCCCCCAGCTCGTCCATACTTGCTATCAATGTCACACTCATGAACCCTGGAGAACAGTCCCCCATTCAGGCCCGGTCGGCCAGGGTGGGCGTTAGCCTCGGCCCCCCCACGCAGCACCCTGGCACTGCTCTGGGCTCCTGGTGCCCCTGCTGTACCTCTTCACAGGGATGGCCGTCAGGAAGGGCACACTTAAGCTCCACTGGATCCTCGGGTTCAGCACTGCGGTTAAGGACACATCAACTCGTCGCTAACCGCTAACCGGCTAAGCTGGGTAAAAGCTAATGCTTTAGCGGCATCGCTAACAGGTGCCGGTGCGCTTTATCGTTACTGAGCTGGCTGTCACAGTCACTCACGCTAATGCTACCGTCACAGGAAATCTCTCTCCTTTTCTCTACTTGCTGCTAATGCTGTCACTGCTCTCTCGTGGCATTTCCTGATTCTCAATTTGTAGAACAATAAGCTAACAAAGGCAGATTATTATTAAATGATCATGCATTCTAACCCTTCTGACTTCATGTATGTTGTCACCATGGTCCTGCGGCTGCTATAGACCAGATGAATGTGGTTGGCTGGCGTTGGTGATCGTGTGTGACTGCATGTCCTGCAATGGCCAGGCATCCTGTCCCGGTTTCTCCGGCCTCATGCCCTGAGTTTCCTGGATCAGGCCCCCGGGCTCCCTGTCCTGGATACGTGTTTATGGGATGTTGATGGACACCTTTCCAGCATTTACGTAGTTTTTCCATTTCATTTGATCGAGTGTCTAGTCTGGACCCAACTTAGTTGTTGGGACTTAGTTCTGTAGGAACTTCCCCCTAAACATGTATGTCTGCTTATATATGTTTATGTATATGTACGCACACAAAAAGGTGTATATATTGCATATTTATTATAAATATTTTGTTGTTTCTATGCTGGATGTATGATTGACAAGAATATGAATGGTGAGCGATGATCTAACACAAATGTTTGCGCACATTGGTCCTCATATGGCAAGATGACAACAAAGAATCTCAAATTTTGAAGCTCATTGGCTGCCTCATTTGAGCTCAAATTTCGATTTGAATGAAAGGTTGGGGTCCTCGTGACTCACCCCCACCCCACCCCCCCTTCACACCACTGAGAGCTCGGCACGACGGGAAGATTTAGGAGATCCGTACACATGCTAGATGACATAGAGTATGAACTGCCTCTCAGCTCCTAGTATGAACTCTATTCACTGTCACACATTTTCATCAGAACTATTGTTCGGTACACAAACACAACTGCACTTTAATATACATGGATATGATGTGCTTAAAATATATGCACACTGTATAGGAAGGTATACTATTGTGGTGAATTGATGAGACTGTCCTAGAGCAATAAGGAAGAGGGCGGTGTTTGACGTGAGGTGGGGAAATTAGTTATTGGGTTCACCTGTGGCTAAGCGGGGGTGGGACATGCAGCTGAGTGTGGCGATAAGAGGGAAAAGCTGGAGACAGTGGAGGAGAACGCCAGTCAGTGTTGCGAGAGGGGTTCATCGGTGCCGGTCGCGGTCAGTAGGATCGCTGCCGGTGAAGATAGTTAGTGGGTGAAATATAAGTATACGCTATATTAGAGTGTGCGTGTGTGTGTGTGTTAGAATGGTTAACCGATCGGGTTTGTGCGATATGGTGTGTTAAGGGAGGGCTGGACGGAACTGTGTACGCTGCCGCTTCGGAGGGGGGTGTTTGGTATAACTGAGTGTGAGTTTCGATTATTCTTGGTTTGCTGTGCTTCTGTGAGTGGGGTGCTGGTGAACCTACTGAGTTGCTGTGTTGCACACTCTGGCGGAGGGTTACAGGCCATTTATCTGCTCCCTGGCTGGTTGTATTGTGCTATGGGTCGGCTGAGTGGAGATGAACTAATTCAATAAAGTATTTGATTCCTAAATTGGTGGCACGTATCCCTTGGGCTTGCTGGGTGGGTGACCTGTGGGGAAGGGGGCTAGGATAGCTAAAGCATATACCTTTAATACCCACAGAGGTTTTGTTACAATATTACTTAAACATATGCACCCTGTTTATCTTCTATATCTACAGTATGCATAGTCTCAGGAGTGACCAAGTCCACAGTTCACTACATGTTTTACTTGTATTACTATGTATGTAACAAAGAATCTTGTATCTTGAATCAGCCCGTGTAGAAATCAGCGTTTATGAGTTTTTGATAGCGACTCAATCACTTTGAGCAAGAAGCTCAGTCACTGGGCTCTTTAAAAAGAGACGCCAGAAAGTATTAAAAGTGGCTATAAGTACTAATTTGCTGCAATTTGGGGTCATACGGCTTTTTTTGGTTGGGTTGCCCCCCCCCCCCCCCC